AAGAACGAATTACGTTCGAAAAACGAGGTGTAAAAGAAATATTGAGGAAATATATCTGTCTAAATGTTTCGTTTTAATCTTTAATCTGTTAAGAAACTAAAATTGAAACTAAACTACGAATAAAAATGTTAAATAAGTTTTTGTTTCGGTTTTGATTTCGGTTTTGATTTTAAGTACGTATTTGTTCAATACTAAAGCAGTTTCATTTCGTTTGCTTTTATCAGCTTTCTAATAGTAAATAAAAAGTGTTCTGAGCTTTTAAACGTTTTTAAAACCTTACTTAAATCACTTTTCAACATATTATATACAGTACGTGATAATACAGATATTTAAATTTTCTTCTGAAAGAAGAGATGAAAGACATCAAACCATAGAACTTAGGTCATCTTGTATGAGGATATATATACCCAATAATACATTTTATCAGTAATTCTTAAAGAATAATTTTGCTTTATAATATGCTCTGATTTAAAATTATAAATAATTAAATTATATTAAATATCTCATATGTAAAATTTATATGTAAACTTCCCATGTATGTACGGCATGTATTATAAATTCTCAATATAATTCAATGTTACTATTTTGATTAAGAACGCTATAAATTTATAATTTGATGTTTTAGAAAAATAACCAGATTGAGTATTTCCCATAGAGATTATAAAGATATAAATTTCTTATCTTCATCATTGATAGTTTTTGAGATAAAGTTCTTTAAACTTGTTCTTATGAAGTCATTAACGTGCCTTTAAATATAGAATCCTTATTTGAATTCGTCAGAACGGAACTTCACCAATACAATCAACAGAAATGGTTAAACTGATTACCAATTAGATCTTATCAATCATTTTTAATAAGTATGCGCATGCTTGTAGCATGTAATGATCAAAGAAACATACACGAAATTTAATCGTACTGATATCAATGTGAAATTGATAATTAATTTTACTTACAATTATTGAAGGGTAATCTATATCTAAAACATAATAGCAAGTAACAACTACAGTGTAAATTTTGTTAAAGTTAAAAGTCTAATTTGTTTTTTAATTATACCGCCAGAAAAATTTCCAAATGGGTCTGAAATTTAGATAAGTTCTACAGGAAAAAAAACAAAGTTTAATTAATCTCAACATTTTGCGTATCAGACAAAGAAAATCTAGATTAAAATACGAAAAGAATAAGGTAAATATTAATTAACGATAATCAAACTGAAAAAGGAAACTAATACGAGTAGGATATTAACGTTGAGTATTGATAAACTCGAATTTTTTTTCCTATGTCAGATAAGTAATACTTAGAACACTTAAATTTTGTTATGCTGTTTGTTCTTTGATAGATATGACTTTCGAAAGTACTTCAGCGACTCTGAACTTTGTTTCACTTTTACGTTTCCGGCTGTTATATATGTTACCGCTAAAGCTCGAAAGCCGTTAATGTGTATATTACCTAGCTAATCTGCAGATTAACTAGGGTGATCCGTTAAAGTTGCTAAAATTGTTCTATTTCTCAAATTACCTAGCTAATCTGCAGATTAACTAGGGTAATCCGTTAAAGTTGCTAAAATTGTTCTATTTCTCAAATTACCTAGGTAATGTGCAGATTATCTAGGTAATCTGCAAATTATCTACTAGACACTCGGTAAAGTGAAAATAAGATCTTTGCTGGAACAACAGCAATATTTCTGTACGCTTAAATGAACATGATGTTCTTTATTTAATTTTCTATATCTAATACAATCAAACAATCAACAAATTAGTTGATAGAATCAATCATCAACCAATTAAAAAACATACAAAAAATCAAACGGTTTAAAATATTAATACAATTAGGGAAATTATTATATGGAATCGCGGGACTTTGAGTATCTATCTGAACTGAGGGGACCGAGAAGACATCAACGATACCCTACTTTTGAACCGGAGACGAAAAATAATAAAGTTATCATACTTTTTCTGATGATCGCATGATATAATTGTGCAGTTAATGTTACCTATGGTGACTAAAATGGCGGCTCGTCTCTGATTCCAGCAAAGAGAAGAAAGGAAACGGTGGGGACGCACGTTCTAACCAAATCCTAACCTATTCTAATAAATTACCATAATTATTACCAACCAAATTATTAGAATAGGTTAGGTTAGGTTTGAACGTGCGTCCCCACCGTTTCCTTTCTTCTCTTTGCTGGAATCAGAGACAAGCCGCCATTTTACTCACCATAGGTAACATTATCCAATTGTGCTTACTTATTAGTGCAGTCTAAAGATTGGTGACACTTTCATAGCAATTGGTTTTTGCGACAAGCACATCTATTTGTGGTACATTTATTTGTGGCAAAGATCTTATTTTCACTTTACCGAGTGCCTAGTAGGTAATGTGCGGATTACCCAGATACTCTGCACATTATCTAGGTAATTTGAGAAATGGAACAATTTTCACAGCTTTAACGGATCACCCTAGCTAATATGCAGATTAGCTAGGTAATCTGCAGATTAACGATTTTCGAGCTTTAGCGGTAACATATATATAAATATATAACAGAGGAAAAGTATGGCGATCGATCGAAAAACGACCCTCGAAATTTTTACAGTTTTGGACCCGGAAGACTTTGAAATGTCGAGAAATGCAAAAAAGGGTGCTTTTCCTATGTGCATGTATGTTAGCGTGTGATTTTGCTCACCACTTTAACGCTTAATAACTCCTGTGCTTTTTGTCAAAAATATCCGAAATTTTTCAGGGAGTTTTGTGTATTAGGAGGTATGATGCTATTAAATTTTGGTGGTTAAGGGTAGACAGAATGGGAGATAAAGAGGAGTAGTGTGTCATATCTACAGTAGGGTCAGACTTAATGACGATTTTACTCGTTATTAGCATTTACATTTTTTTTTATAAAGGCAGTTTTAACTGTTGCCGGAAAACTTAAACAACTATTTGCTGGATTTTCTATATCAGCTTTCTGTCTATTTCATACAAAAACAAGCTTTCCTTAAAACAATATTAAACAATTTATATCATCGATATATATGTATTTTTTTAATTTAAGAAAATCAATTTTAAAAGTAGTTTATCTTCACGAATAATTTATAATCTGTATACCAAGTTAGCAATATTATTTAGAACTACAATTCTCGCGCAATTAATTTTTATTTCTGACAATAACTCCTTCTAATAATTAATTTAAAATGTTGTATTAGAATAAAAAACTTATGATTAAAATTTGGTTTGATTATAGGAGGTAAACGTAGGCCTATATATTACATAATTGTTTCAATAATTAGATATGTTTCGATCGTTCAGGAAAATGACAGATTCAATATTTTATTCGTCTCCTGGTATCATAGTAACGGCCTAGAAAACTCTATTTTATGTTATTTGGTTGGACCAGCATCCAGCAATATCTATCATTATTTTTTAATATGGTAAACTAAAATATATTTGTTCAAACTTTCTATCAAAATTTAAGTTTTCAGTTTATATATAAGCGTCATAACTAACAAAGAACAGACAATTTAGATTCCTTTGTATATGATTTATTTTTCGCTGTTTTTAGTTACGAAAGAATGAAACAAATATGATTTTATTTGACCCAATAATCTATTTAGATATCAATCTATTCCAATTGTTCTAATTCCTAATAGATAAATGCAAAAATATTGTACAATTCCTAAATTAAATGTATTATATATTGCTGAAAATGATGCTTAAGAAATTAATGTAAGACAGAATTTTCTAAGCGTTATATAGTCACAGAGAATTTTCTATTCGTTGCATAAGCATATAGTGCATGTAACATAGAATATTTTGTTTATTTTAGATGAATAAAAATTCAATTACTTAAAATTTAGCATTACAAGTCTACCCCCCTATAACACTGTTGATTTTTCCGTTTTATATGAATTCCATGTTGTACGAGTCACTTAGAATTTACAAATACGTGTGCCAGGCTGTGAACGGCTCACGTATTTGTAAAATCTAAGTGACTCGTACAACATGGAATTCATATAAAACGGAATTATCAACAGTGTTATAGGAGGTCGACTGTATTTCAGGTCGAGTGAGGGGAAAGATAGCGGGGGGTCGTGTGTCGCGAGAGCATACCTCGAGAGGGGTAGGATTTAATGAAGATTTTATTCGTTATTAACATTTACACTTTTTTAAATAAAACTCATCCGTACACTCGAAATTTTATATATTTTGTTTAATAATATAAAAGTTATTTTTTAAATAAAAACTCATAACAGTCGAGAAAGTTACGCAACTCGTTACTAGACTACTTTTTTTTTATTTGAATTATCATAAGGATCAATTCTACACCAAATTTATAGCTTTATATAGTAAGGTAGTTTCCGCAATGGAAATCACGTGTATTCCGGTGCAGACCGGAAGTACAGTGTATAGTTAATCGGAGAGGCGACTCTGGTCAGAACCGATAGAAAGCCAATGATTAAAATAACAACTCTGAATAATTTAAATTAATAAAAAACAGTCTGTAATTTTTCGCAAATCAGGGATCTTATTTGAGAATTAAACACGTGTAAAAACCCGGAAAATTATATGTTAGCCAGCCCATTGATGAGGCACGAGTCCATGACCAGGGTAGTGTGTTCGGTGGTTTTTATCTAGCAAAATATAAAATTTTATTTTAAAATTGTACGCGTAAAGCTAAAATTTACATTAAATAACTAATATTTTCATTTCTTTATGTGATGTAATTAAAGTATAAAATCAAACAATCATTTATTTATTTATTAACATGTAACATTTATTTGTTTTCTTAAATACTAATTTTTTTTCGTGAAGGCATTATTATTATTATTAAAAAGTATTCACAATAAAATATTCATTACGAGTTTCTTTGTGAATATTATGGATGTAATTGTATTGTAATGTCTGCTCTTTCTAAGGACAGAAGAGTTTTGGCAAGATGGCCAACAGTGGCTAAATCTGGATGCTTTTCTTTCCATGTACTTAGCATCCGTACGATTGTCTCCTCCAGATTATCTTTGTTATCACTTTGCAGTATTGTTAATTCTCCTTCCGTAAATACATTTCCTATGCCAGAAACATTAAATATTTCGTATTTTAAGGAAGAACGTAACAAAGATGTAATAATTTTTCGTTCTTAAATAATAAAATTACGTTTTTAACTATCATAAATATGGTCGATGACGTATCAGACTTACTTGGCGGCAGAAAACGTGCCAATTCTTTCCATTTGCCGTATATTCTCTTTGCAACTACGTAATATTCGACGTCCCCTATTTTTCGTTGGATTCTATAAAAATAAAAATAAATAAATAAATAATTGTATTTTTATGTTTTAAATCAAATGTTTCATTTATTTCAAATGGATTTTTGATTGATGGGACAAGGCAACATTTCTGCCAATAACCGAGTGGATAAAACCAATGGACACTGGTAGGTTGTTATGGATTCGCTGAAGTTTTCCGGGATTTCATCACTTTAGTAGCACCTAGAAAGTCCTCCTGAGTGGCATCTCCCTCGATAGATCACTCGTGTGTCGCATTACCGAATACGACTAAACCAAAACCAATAAGGCATCGTATTCCTCAATGCCTTCCGGTAGGAAATTCTATTGGAAACTGGCATAATTAATTTTTGCATATTGCAAATGAAAAGATGAATAACGAGCAATCATTTATTGTGACCGGCTGCAATTTTTAATCATCATTTAATTTAAAAAAGTTCACATGATTTTCGGTGAAGACTGGAAGTTCGTATATAGTTAATCGGGATCTCCAGTCCTTAAATTTTCCATGTATGGTCTCGAGATTAATGAAAGACAGTCATACAGATGGTCGGACGATAGTGAGAATTTACAGCTCTTTAATTTGAAAATTGCAACCCAAAAACTCGAATTATTACTTACCGATCAATTCTTCTAGAAGAGATATTGGGGCTATGCTATTATCATCATCATCTTCTTCAACTTCTTCACTACTCTGTCTATTATAATTGCGTACAGTGTTATTAATTTCTAACCAGTGATATCTGTTTCCAATGTGAATATCACTTGAGTTCTCTATGTAAGTTACTCCTGAAAATATAAATAACTGATTAGAAAAGTTAATTATCACTTTTAGGACTAACGACTTTTAGATATCGTGTTTATGTGGATTGACCTTTGTTGATCTTTGTTTTTTTTAATCGTTATTTATTGTTCTCTGTCATCCGACAAGGACCTTTTAGCTTTTGATTTCGGTTATTTCGCTATTTCAGAAAATGTGCAAATTAGCATGCCACAACCGAAATAATTGTGATGTTTTTGCTTATTTGTATTTACATTTTAAAAAGACTAAACATTAAATTATTTAATAATTTGTATACGATACTGTATACGCTGATGTTTACTGTATACAGTTGATCGGGTATCTGGCCTCTAAGATTGTCATATCTACTCTCGATTTTCATGTATCTATCTCCGTTCTGGAGATTACCGAAGGACAGTTAGAGAGATAGACGACAGTGAGAATGGATAAGTTTGTAATTTGAAAATTGCAGCCTAATAAGAGAATAATCATTAATTACGTATACAGTTTTTGAGCCACTTTTGACCCCTCCCTTCCTGTTGTGTACAATGAGGAACTTTTTGCTACCCCTTCCCATTAACCTGTAAGAACGGTCCCCTATATAAGGTACTGTACTATATCAGTTTTACTTACCAGGAGCCATCTTTTCTTCCATGTTTTAATTTTTGATTTCGATTCCAAGGAAAATAATAACTGTCAAATATCAAATTTCAATGTTTAATCTGAAAATATTTATAGTAATTAAAGAATAATTTAAAACGAAATCATGCATTTATTAATAATATAATTTATAACAGAAATAATTATAAATTTATTATTATTATTCAAGTATTCAAGTATATAGTGTGTCAATAGTTTATGGGGGAAAGGAGTATTTGCCGATTACTGATGATGCGGGGATGATGATGTGCCTTTGATGACGTAAGATTTCACCCTTCATTTATTTTCCTTTCCAGTCTTCATTAAACTTGCAGAGTTGTACATATAACATTCCTTTGGGTTAAATACAGCAGCCTCTTGCTAATCCGGCAATTCCTTGCACAGAGAGGTTTCAGGTTAGCTAGAATGCCAATTATTGAGAATGTAATAGGCTGAAGCATGGCTAAAGGCAATGAATGGCGTGACCTTTACGCAGAGATAAAACCGAATAAACAAGAAAAGAGTATGTGTGTCATTATTAACACTTCCATGAAAATAGATTATTACACTGGAGATTATGCTAGATTATCAATAGGGCTGTACCGAACAGTTTTGGCGCCCGGAGCAAACCTCATACGTGGTGCCCCTAATTCAATGTTGATTACAAAATATTCTACAGGTTTTAATTGTAAGGACCCGTTTTGGAGCCCTGTGAAGATCGGGCTCCCTCGTCCCCTTTAGTTACAAGTCTGATTATCGAGGACGGATTAGCGAGAGTGCACCGATAAATGGTTATGATGAGGGAGGGAAAATAAAAACGAGAAAAGTTTTCATAATTCGAATGTTGCCCAATTGTTAAATAAACCTATCGTGCATTCAATATATATATATTATCTTTAGTAGTGCCCTCTTATATAGCTCCACTGTCGTAGAACGCCAATGAATACTCATAAATATTAAACAGGAATTGCTTCGACCTCTGTTAATTGCTAGATGAAGGGTTTTACGTTGCAAAGGGAACTGTTATTATCAAATTAGGCGACTTACAAACTCTCAAATTTCATTATAGACCTCATTGTTTTGTATAATTCTTAGTTTGTTGTCCTTCAGTTTAGCGTCAAATTCAATAACGTTCCAATTTCGGAGGCGAACAAATGGTGGCGATATATCGAAGTTTCATTGTATCGAAATAGGTTGCATGCAAAAACAGACACGCAAGTTCAGTTGTCTCTTATTTAATGCAGTGTAGAAATTCTGAGATTTTCTGGCTCCTGTTCAGTGTTACAAACCTGAAGTAAACTCGGAAAGCTCCACAAGGCCAATCCATTGGCCAGGCACAAATCCATTGCTAACTACTAGTGTTCAGTGGTTTTATCCATTCGGCCACTGGTGGGCTGGTTTTAATGTTAAGATGCTAACCACACCCTCTTGTAATATGTGTTAATACTTTAAAAAGTTAGACCAAAAATTAAATAGAAAACAGAGAATAAAAATTAATTTTCACAAATAATTTTTGAGTTACTGAAACCAAACCGATAACTCGAAATATCTCGAAGATATAATATTAGGTAAATATAATGTATAATTATTTTATGAATTTATATAATGTTGTTTTAGCAAATTATATTTAAAATATAAACAATTCACTGAATATCATCTCGAAATTTGTGGATAGTACTACAATTTTTGGGCTGCAATTTGAAAAAATTGTACACTATAAATTTCCACTGTCGTCCAACTGTCTTTCCTTAATCTCGAGAATGGATTTAGATAAACGAAAGATAAGAAGACTAGGTAAGGAAACCTTAGGGCAGGAGGCCCAATTAACAATGTATAAACTTCTATTGCAAACCGAAAGTCATGTTATTTCAATTCAAATATTATCCCCTGAAAGGTGTTAGATAGTTGACCGGCACGACTCTATTCTTAAAGGAAAAGTATGATTTACAGGGGCAAGCTACAATTTGAGATGGAGAGCATATATTTTAAGTCAAATAAATTAAAGATATGATTAAAAATTGCAGCCCGGCATTGTGACGATGCCACAATAAATAATTGCACGTTAATATTAAAGTTTCGTCAATCTTGAAACTATTTAATAGACTTTAATATTTTTACGATAGTTAAGAACTCTTTCGAGACTTAAGCTTTAATTTAATAATTCATATTTATTTCTATGATTATAATTAGCAAAATTTATAATTTGATTCTGATATAATATCTAATTTTAGAAAATAAAACACAACAAATGTTTACTGTAAACATCGAACGTCCAACATAAATTTGTCTAATACAGACATAAATCAATTATCGATCTAATCGATCGATTTTTCTATAACACTTATTATTATGATGCCAGGTACAGAAATTTCAAATTGGATTTCAAAATATAAACACACACAGAAAAAATACACCAGATAATATTAATTATTGTACGTTCAATAAATATTTTAAGAAAATAAATTACTTCGTGCTTATTTTTAAAATAAATTGTAACGTGAAGAATGCTATCAGAAGTATTCGTGTCTTGAATAGAGCAAAGAACTGAAACTCGGTCATGCTTAGCTTGACATTTTCATTCTCTTCTTAATTACTAATTTTCAACATAGTTTTTAATAATAATATGTTGGTAATCAACGATAAATGCTATCATTCAGTAATAGTTTAATCAATTTCGAATGAGAATATATTTATATATAAGAATTTTTTTTATCATTAAATTGAATCATAATCGTGAATAATAACAACAAAAATATTGCTTGTTATCATTTTATACGGTGTAATAAATAAATATTATACGAAATAAATAAATATTTATTTATTTCGTATATAAATAAAGAAAGATAAATAAATAACTTTTTTTATCTTTTTATATTCTTTTGTATGTGCAGCACAAAAATACAAAATCATAACTGAAATTTGTGAAATGAAAAACTTAAAAAGTGTTAATAAAATAGAAATTAATTTTATTTTAAAATGTATCATAAACAGTCTAATAATAAAAAAATGAGCATACGAAACTGAAGCCAGCATCGGGCCATGGCAATTTCTTACTCGTGAGCCGGGTATTGTGGAGGTCAACTGACATCTCTGGTCCATTAGCTTACTTGGAAAAGCATAAATAAAGAAACATCCATAAAAATTTCCCATGTCTAATAAAATAAATTATTGTGACTCATTTACTATCAATATACTATATTCGTCGTTACGATGTTCTGGGGATTATAACTCACGTGACAAAGAATGATTGGAAATGCTTCTCGTGTGAATGATTCATTAAATACTGGACTAATAATTTTTTGAATTTAGTAAATAATATATAGCTTATAGCTGTACATATAAATTTTTGATTTTATAAAACTTAAGCATATGAAAAAATTAAACTTTAACCTCATCTATCTTACGATGAGCACATAAGATGATATAATATAATACAGTATATTATTATCTTATTTATAGAGAAAATATAGATAAACTAATAAGATTCTCTATAGGATTATTCCCAAAATAAACTATAAAATAATTATTAAGTGGAAGAATAAATTATATTTAAACATAATAAAACGTCTTTAAAAGAGCAATTTATTACGTTCATCAGTTAAATAAATAAATTACTTTAAAGTGCTCCTCTAGAGATTAATGTAAATGGAATCTTTCGTATTATATTAATAAAAATTGTGTTCTATGATAAAAGATTAATTATTAATGTGACGAATAATATTAATAATAGAACAAAAATGATTCAGTACTTCAATTTTTTCCATATTTTAAAATTTTTATACAAAATTCTTGTGACGGTTTTAACCTAAACTAAACTAGAATTGTCTGTCTAAACGCTAAACTCAAGTTTTAAAAGTACCTCGGACATTTAAACGTCGATACTCGTCTTTGTGTAGTATTCAGAAATCGGCACTTACTAGAACTAACATTGTATAATGTCAATAAACGTATAATGTATTTTATAACATGCAAACTTATCTAAAAAGAGCTTACGAATCTATGCTTGAATACTAATTTGAGCAACCTTAAAACATCACTGCCAGAATCGTTATGAGATTGATGACAGCCTACCACTTTGACAGACCGTGTTCGAATCCGGACGAATGGTGTGGTCCATCTGGATAACAGCCTTATCATTCTATTGCCTTATTAGCGTATGATAATCTAGCGATATATTTGTATACAATACGCACATGCGCATTGTTTTGTACGTTTACTCAATAAAGTCACTTTCCTGTTAGGAATAGATCGATCTAGTCCTGTTTAAAAATATACATATACGTGTTTGTATGTATATAAATATAAATATATATATATATATATATATAAACATATATATATATGTATGTATAAATATAAATATATACATATATATACAAACATATATATGTATATTTAAAACTTTTTAGTTTGATCGTAAATTTAAAAAATATATATATAATATATTTGCCGAATAACATACTAGATTATTGCAATTTACAATTAAGTATATACAAATATATATATATATATATACCAGTGAAATAAAAAACCTTCAAAGAAAGTTGGATAAATCGGAATAATAAGCTCATTCCTACTTAGAAAATTTATAAGTAAGTATAATTTTTGCTTATTTTATGTGTAATTCTATTCTATTTACGTAAAACGAAATGTATAACGTATATAATATATGTTCTACGTTATAATATCTCAAAGAAAATCATTCTGTTTAACGTTATATAACGTAACGATAAGAATAAAATCGATTTTCCTTGTATCTGTACAAGTTTCTCGGGTACTCCGGTTACCTCTCAAGTGTCAAAAATATGTAGGCCTATATTAGGAAACAATTGATGTCTGAAATTTCCCAGTATGATTATGTGTGTCATGTGAGCGCGCACTGCCAGGGAATTGCAATCTGTCCAGAGTTTGAATTCCGTCTTGTGCTCTGAGCTGCCGAGAAATTGGCATTGACCACCCACAATCTTGAATCTGGACCTAGCGGGTTAGAAATCTGAAGAAATCAATGAATATAAATTATTTAAATGACTCGATAATCGTACAAATGCACGACAGTAAACAATGAAGTACAAAAGTACTCGAGATACTACCGACCGCCGCCACACATTGATCTTTCCTAAATAGTTCATATTTATTTTAATAGTTAATGTTAAGTATTTTGAGTCTTTCTTTAGAAGCTTGGTAATGATTTTGTACTCCTAAAATTAGCCTATTGTAAAATTGGTTTGGTTATATGCGATTTCGCTTAAAGTCGCAGTTTCTAAGAACCTATCAACGACGTTAAATGAGAACTTGATATATACTCTAATAAGTAAATAACCAAACCAAAGTGAAACCATAATCATTTATGATAATGGTTATAGTTTCTCTTTATGTCAAAAATCTACTTTTTGATTTCTGGATAAACTCTAAAACTTATTCGTCGAAGCTTGTTTAAATCAGTAAACAAGAGAATACCTATGTGCAATTTGTATACAAAAGACTTAAGGTAGGCCTATCTATCTGATATAATTTTAAAATATTAGCAATTTTAAATGACTATAGTTTATTTATTTTACTTTAATAAAATAAAATATAATTTAAAATCGCTAATATTTTAAAATACTTTATGAATTATTAAAAATTATACCATAAACAAATAACGTTCTTATAAGACTAGGGGATTCCCTTTAAACTAATCTTTATTGCATTTTTTGTATGGGAAATATGCCTAAAATATTTTAATATGTAAAATTTAGTTTTAAAAACTTTTAAGTAGTCTAATATAAAAACTAAAAACTATTTCCATACACGAATTTATATTAAAATAAAATTATTATTACTATATAAGTAATTCTATATCAGTTCTCTGTTTAGTTTAATTTTATCAATATAAAGCCATAACAAGACTTTTTTTTTATTCTGAATAAATGGCTGAATGAAAGCAGTCGGATATCAAAACCTCTTGGATGTATATCTTTTAGCATTTGGAAAGAAAATTGGTGTTTTATTCTGGCAATTGCAACAAGATAATGCACCAATCCACAAAGCAAATTTCATTTATCAGTGGTTACTGGATAATGGCATTCGGGTCATGAATTGGCTTCCCTATTCCCATGGTTTGAACCCTATAGAAAATACATGGAGGCTAATAGCTAGGGATATTTATGCAGGAGGAAAATAATATAACAGTATTGAATAACTCAAAGCTGCAATAGTTATAGAAGAGAAAGAATGATAATGTTTTGGTTGTATACATAAAAAGAAAAACGTTAATAGAATAATATAAAAATAAATATAAGATTAATTAGGAGTAAAAGTTATTTTTTTTAGACCTTTTAAATCGAAATGCTCTAGACTTTTGCTCTACTTCACATTTTGTAAACTTAAACGAAAGCCATAAGTATATGTATATAAATAATATTAATAATATTTAATCTAAAAATATTATTTCCAAAATAAAACAGACAATATTATAAGTTTTTAAAAATAAAACTGAAAGGAAAAAAAAAAACATTTGCTGTAAGTAAATTTTACTTTTACTTACGCAAATGGTTTCGCTTTCAATTTATATCAAAAATAAAATTTTATAGTTTTATAATTGACTGAGTCATAAGAAAAAATAAATATACATTCATTATTCTAAAGTATAATTTTATGAAAAATTGACTCCCAGTTCCCAAGAGAGGTAGGCAGGATGTCCTTTTAGAAGCTAAAAGAACTTTTTAAATTATTTCTTATATATAATTCTTTTTTAATTAATAGAACAACCCAGTTCAGATCCTATTATGCTGTACACTCCCTAATATTATTAATCAAGCTGTTCAATTAAACAGTGCAATACATTTTAAAATAATATAGGCCTACTTTAGACAGAAATAGAATTGATATGGTTTGTTTAACAATTGTCAATCTGTATAAATATACTGTAATATTCACATACAATATAAATATTGGTTGTCATGGATATCTGACGTAAAATAATTAAAAAAATCGATAAATTAGAAGTATATTTTTTAAAAGAATTATTTATTAAACTAGCAGATAAGCCCGGCATTGCTCGGGCAAAAAGTAACGATAGCAAAGATTAAAATTATTACATTACAGCCAATCTTATCCGTTTTCACACAATGAAAAAGTTAGGTCCCTCTGTTTCCAGACTAATTAGAGAATTTTTAGATGGATCTAAAAATATGTTCGATTTCCCACAAAATGAAAAAAAAACTGCATCTGCGCCTTGCACGTTGCCTTCTCTTAACAATTCCATTGTTACGTAACAATTCCATTGTTGACACGTCCATTGTTGACACTTCCATTGTTACTTAACACTTCCATTATTGATGGAAGTGTTAAGGCTTAATTCTGCCCCTCTCCCCTGTGGGGATGAATTTCGAAAAATCTCTTCTTAGTGTGCATTCTCGTGACGTACCAAATTTCAACTTTCAACTCCTAACCATTTGTGCTCTGCGCTTATTATTATTATTATTATCAACCTATCTCGATTATAGGCTTATATGTAGATTACTTTAATAATTATAATTAAAAATTATAGTATAGGCCTAAATTTAGTTAATTATACTAAATATTATGAAAAAAATTGCTTCTATATCTCTAATAAGTACAGTAAAACCTGACAAACCGGGAAAAATGTTTATAACGTGCGAGTCTGGTTTTAATGTATTTTTCTCTTCGTAGTTCAATTTAGTGTTTCCCAAATGCCTTTCTCTGATAAAATTTTCGCCGATTTTCAGCGAATATGACCGAAACATAGAATTTATACTTTAAATAAAACAAAAAACGTACAACAAAGCTGCTGTGATCTATAAAATTTTAGTGTCATTTTGTACTTAGCTCTAACACGCATCATTGGTCGAACTACAGGATATCGACACTATTGATTGAAGATCGATCGTTTAGCATATTTATAACAATAGTAGCCTATATTTGAAAAAAAAATCAGTCTTAAATGCGTCCAAACAAAGTTTATTTTTAAAAAAACTTGAAGGTAAAAATACAGACATTTTTATTCTGGTCTTTTCACTGGCTAAGTTTAGTTTCCGTTTGAAGTATTTTCAAGTATTTTAAATAAAATGGAATAGTTTAGCATATAATCTATGCACATCCTCCTGAATACTTTAAATCAAATCATCCCTGGATTATTTATGATAATCGATACAACGTACAGTAAATGTCATGTAAATAGTTATCACGACGTATTGTTTATTGAATAATGACAAAGAAAAAGTGCAGTACAGATGCAACTATCGTGTTCCTAACTAAACTTAATTTTGAAGGTAGAGATGAGTTTTATAAAAAGTTATAAATAGTAATAACGAGAAAAATCGTCATTATGTACGACCCTACTCACATATGACACACGACCACCCTTTATCACCCCGCTCTTTCGGCCTTTAACCACCAAAATTTAATAGCATCGATTCCCTTAATACACAAACTTCCCTGCAAAATTTCAAAAAGTTTTGACAAAAGGCGCAGGAGTTATTAAGCTTCAAACTGAGTTAGTTTTGACCTATCGCTAAGGTTTCCCTTTGTTATATATCAATATAACAGCTGGGAAAGAATTATAGAGTACAATTCAACAACAATATAACGTCTTTCTTTTTTTACAACACTTGCAGAGTGTTTTTGTAAAATAAAATAAAAAAAAAAATTATTTCAACTATTTATCGATAGTACAGTACAGTATCTACGCAACTGTTTATAACACAGAAAAATCATTTATGACCGGCTAGTATCGCCATCTGTTGACGTATTTTAAAATAAAATATTAATTATCTCCTTATGACGTAAAAATGATGACGTATTTCTACGTCAATTATGATACACCTACAGTTTAATAATAAGAATTTTACGTTAATTCTTAACGTTCTCAATTACAATATTTTTAAAATAAAGTGTGAATTTAAAACAATAGTAAAATATTTTCCTAACATAATTTTGAAATTATATTTAAATAATTTATTTTCTAAAGGAAATAAGACGATAAACATACTTCCTACAATAATAAAATTATAAAAGAGGAAACCAAATCTAGAAATAAAAAAAAACAGGAACTTTATACAAATGAATTTATTGTTAACGAAACTAAAACTAAATGAAAATATATGAAAGATCGATGCGATTTACGAGTTTTCACATTCGTGTACGAAGGAGCGAGTTATACAAATACATGTTCCAATACTCAGAATCCAACAATGACTAAAATCTAAAACTTTGTACAATTGCAGTAAAGTTTAAGTGTTTAATTAGATACATTTAAATCATTAAATATACGTACGAAGAA